TGAGCCCGGGGAAAAGGAAGTCACAAATATTCCCCAGGAAAACGGGCGATGGAGGAGCGGTAAGACTGCCCCCTTATCACCCACCCCCGCCCCCCAGGGGTGGGGTGGAGTCAGACTCCCCTCAGTTCCCACTCTCACAGGGCGCTCCGCAGAACAACATAAAACAGACTCTGGGCGCTCGCAGTGTGACTCCACCCAAGGGGGTGGTGGCTGGCGTGGGCAGCTGTACTACTGGAGCTGTGAGGGCCACAGCCCGGGGTAGGATTAGCAGACACTGCGGCCCAGCAGAGGCCACTGGCCTCAGGTCCCACATTCTGGGCTAGTTCTTATACCCAGGGGCAGCACTGGGGGCCAGGAAGGCTTGTGGCTCTCTAAGCCTTACTATTGGCAGGGGAGGGGAGGGGGTGGGTCAGTGGGTTTTTTAATTATATAAAAAGCAAGTGTTACTTTTAGAATGAAATTCCTAGGTGATGCGGTTAAGTGCTCAACTAATAGCCAAGCCAAGAAGTGGGAAGTTCAAACCCCCTTGGGGAACCTTGGCAGCCAGAGGGGCCATCTGCCTCTGAAAGGTCCCCTGGCTTGAAACCCCATGGGGCTGCTCACATGGGGTCATTGCCATGGCAACGAGCCTGCGACCACTTTGAGGTTGGGGAAAACAATGACATTCAACCCTTCCAGGAGTAGGGAAAGGTGCCATAATGGTTTGGTGTTGGGCTGCTGACCACACTGACCGCAGTTCCAAACCACCCGTTGCTCCGAGGGAGAAAGATGAGGCTTTCTACACCCATAAAGAGTTAGTCTCAGAAACCCACAAGGCCAGTTCTATCCTGTCCTATTTGGGTCACTATGAGTCAGAGTTGACCCAATGGCAAGGAGTTTCTCTTTCTGAGGGACAGGAAAGAAAAGGTTGGGCAGGGGACAGGGTCTGTGCAGGGGCTGGAGCTCATGACAAGCCACCCAATGACCAGGGCTCTGCCTTCTGTCTCTTTGCGCATGCGCACACTACAGGGACATCACCGAGCTCCGGGCTGAGTCTGATCGGCCAGCATTTTGCCTGGGGGTGTCCAGACCAGGTGTCCAGGCTCCTCGATTGTGGGTGCCCAGCCTCCCTGCTGGCCCAGGCCTGGGAAACCCCGGGGAACGGCCACACCGGGGCTCGGGGAGCCCAAGGGGTCAGGGAGCAGGGCCAGAGCCAGAATCCAGCTGGGCGAAGCCACCGGCTGTCCCTGTTGGCGGTGTCCCCAACAGGGCCCAGGGCTTCCTCGGGCAGCGGGAGGGTGGTTCTGCCGGCCACCCACCTTCACGCGCTGCTTCTTGTGCTGTACACTGTCCAGCTCATCATCCTCATCGCTGTCCTCGTCCTCACAGTGCTGCAGGAAGGGGACCTGCTCCAGCACTGAGCCCCCCAGGCGGTCCTTGCCATCCTTGCCGGCCGCATTCCTACAGCGACAGCGAGCAAGGGTGTCAGTGCAGCCAGGTGACACAGTTCCCTCTCACCCTCGGGCCCTCGTCTGGTCCCTTCAGGCTGGGCCTGAGATTCCGAGGAATGAGCCCTGGTCCTTCTGACTACCCCACCATGCCTAGCCAGGAAAACTGTGACCACAAGTGGCACCAGTGTGTGGCCGGTGGGAACGAGGGACTGGTTTCCACTGCACAGGGCCAGTCGCCTGACCCACTGGACTCGCTGACAGGCATTCGCTGAGGGGAGGGAGCACTTGGGGTCACACTTCAGAGAAGTCAGTTAAAAGGTCCCTCTCTGCCATGGGGCGGCAGACTCAAGTTTTGTCAACCACCTGGGTCACGGCTACCGCTGGGGAGGGCGGGCAGTGCCACCCAGCCATAGCGCTCCTTCTTCCACGCCTGGCATCCTGGTGGCACTGGGGGTCAGGCACAGGGCTGTGTAAGAGCTACGTGGGGTGGTGGAAGCCCACAAGCTGCAGGCTGTGCCTCTCCGTCTTTTCTCTGAAATCTGCCCCCACCCTGGGTCAGTGCCAGCACCCCTCTCCCTTGGTGTTTGGACCCGAGCCGCAGCAGCTGATCCTAAAGGACCTCTTGAGGTCCCAGACTCAGGAATAGCTGCTCCCAGTTGCTCAGACCAAGCTCTCCCCCACCCCCACCCCCTCAAGCCAATCTTTCTCAGAGCTCCCGGGACAAATCAGCCCGCAGGCTCACCTCTTGATCTGCTCCTCGATCTGCCGCACCAGCAGAGACTCGCCCCCACTAAGTGGCCCAGGGCCCGGTGTGGCCCGGGGGCCTCCATCGCTGGGTTCCACAGCCCCATTGGGCTCCAGCGAGCGGCCCAGCAGTGAGCGGACGCGCTTGGACCGCATGTCCAGGATGGTGTCCGTGTAGCCCACCTCCTCCAGGTACCTGTGGGAGCCAGAGTCAGCTGGAGTCAGACTACCTACAGTAGGGCAAGGGCAGCCCCTTCGGGGGGCCCCCTCCCTGAAGTGACACAGGGCTGGAGAGCAGGCCCAGCCGGACCCAGCAGCCTCTGCCGCTCTGCTGTGTGAGAAGGCTCTGCAGGGCATTCAGCGCCTTCTGGGAGCATTCTGATGGCTGGGGATGCCCAGCAGAGGGCCAGGACCAGGGCCGAATAAAACGGTAAGTTATGTGGTTGGCGTGATTTGAGTTACAGGCCACGCTGTGCGTGTCTGTGTCAGCACGCAGCCCCGAGTTTGCGGCATGCAGCTCGGAGAGGCCCGTGGAGTCCCACGCTCCACTTCATAGCAGTGACCTCCGGAAAGTAGGATTGGGGACTTAAGAGGGGCTTGAGTCTGGTGGTGTAGTATTTAAGCACTGTGCTGCTAACTGCAAGGGCAGCAGTTCAAAACCACAGCCACCGTTTGGGAGAACACTGGGGCTTTCTACTCCTGTAAAGAGTTACAGTCTCAGAAACAAACCCACGGGAGCAGCCCTATCTTGCCTTGCAGGGTTGCTTTGGTGGAATCCACTGGATGGCAGAGAGCATTGTAATGACAGGCGCCTGGGTGGCGCAAGGAACCCTAGTGGCGTAGTGGGTTTCCCAGTTGGGCTTGGGCTGCTCGAAAGGCCAGGAATTCAGAAGCATCAGCAGTTCAGTGGGACACAGACAAGCCTGTCTACGCCTGTGAAGATTGAGGCTTGGAAACCCATAGCTGACGCTCCACTCTGTCCTGTCAGGTCGCCTCGATGGCAGTGAGTTTGGGTGGCGCAGAAGGCTGACACCTGGCTGACAACCACAGATTAGTGGTTTGAACCTGCCATCCAGCTAAGCCCAGGGACAGGAAGGAGAGGCTGTCTGCTCCCGAACAGATTACAGTCTCAGAAAGCCCAGAGGCGTCTATCCTGTAAGGCCACCAGTAGCCTGGCTGGATGTTGACAGCGGTGGGCTGGTTTGCGTGAGGCAGCCTCTGAAGCGCGTTCCTAAGCAGGTCGGTCTGTAGGTTGCAGGTTGTACAGGTGCAGGCAACCTGGACCAGGTGTACAGGTGCTCGTTAGCCTGGAGTTAGTGCAGCCAGCAAGGCTCCCAAATGGCTGCCTGGTTTCGCAGCCACCTGTGCACCAGTGAAGACGCTTCTGAGGAAGGACTTGTTGCCAGGGGGCTTGGTCAAGGATCTCTGGTGGTGTGGTGGTCAGGCACTGGTGTTAACGGATAGGTGGGAAGTTTAAGCCCACCCAGTCGCTCGCTCTTCAGGAGAAAGACAAGGCTGGCAGCTCCCAGGAAGGTGTCCCGCCTCGGAGACCTTTTTAAGGGTTGCCCCAAGTCAGAATCCAATTGGTCCTTGTGGCAGTTATATCATCTCCTGTCAATTTGAGCAAGGGGTGGAGTTTAGCCTGTCAATCAGGTTGCAGCTTGATGACCTCATTTGGAGGCACAAAGGAGATAAATAGCTCACTGGAGGCCAGACCCAGTCTCTCTGCCTTCCCTTTCCTCCTGCGGAGACACTGAGAACTGGAGGAGACATGTGGAGACCCACGCCAGCATTGATATGCTTCCACTGCCACTGGAACCACAAGACCTTCTACCCACTGGCCTGTGATCATCCTGCATTCAGCAGGTGCTATGAGAGTTAAACAGGAATTTATGGACTAGTATTGGACATATGGACTAATATCAGACTTATGGACTTGATCTGGAGTGGACCGGGATATTTTCTCAATATATAATTGCTCTTTTATATAACGCTCTTTCTTATACACATATGATTGTCTCTGGACTTGTTTTAGTCTACCCAGACTCACACAGTCATGGTAGGTTGGGTTTGGCCCAGGAGGGCTTGGATCAACCTTTCCCAAGTGGGGACGGATGTCCCTGGGACTAAAGGGCGAGCGCTGGCTGGTAGGGGTCCATCTGTACGCAGGGCATCCAGAACCCTGGGACTCACTGGACTTACCACTTCCCCCTGAGTACTCACTAATTCTGCAATGAAGCACATTAAGGCCAGTTGACACCGACCTACAGTTTGTTTGTTTGTTTTTAGAAAGGAAGAGGAAAAGCATCAATACATGAGGACCAGAGTCTCAAAGGACCTTTGAAAAAGCCCATAGTGGTCCTTAAAGGCTCCCCCGCCGGGGACCCCTGGCCAAGCCCGTATCCCTCAGGACGCCTGGCCACCTCCGCTAACACTACATTACCTTTGTCTGCCTGGCTCAGGTGCTGTGTCCGTTTGAGCTTCCTTCCTCCCCACCAACAGGGCAGCAGGTAGCACCCTGGGTAAGGCTCGGGCTCTGGAGTTGGACTGCGAAGATCTGACCTCGGCCTTGCCCCTTATCGCCGTACTCCTCACTGCCCTCCCCCCCCCCAATTTATTTAACCTGTGACAGGAGGGGAAGGCTGATTTCTTCTTACAACTCATGGGGATCTGCGGGACCACCTACCTACTCACTGCCACGGAGTCAATGCTGGCTCATAGCGGCCTGACAAGACAAGTAAGAAATGCCTGTGGCTTTCCGAAACTGTAACTATGGCAGCGGTTCTCAACTTGTGGGTCGTGACCCCTTTGGGGGGTTGAATGACGCTTTCACAGGAATCGTCCAATTCATAACAGTAGCAAAATGACAGTTATGAAGTAACAAGGAAAATGATTTGATGGTTGGGGGGGTCACCATCACATGAGGAACTGCATGAAAGGGCCGCGGCATTAGGAAGGTTGAGAACTACTGCTCTATGGGAATAGAAAAACTCACCTCGCTCCCATTTGTGTGGCTGGTGGAATCGAACCACTGTCCTTGAGTTAAGCAGCCCAGTATGCAACCACTACAAGTGGTGTGGGGAAACTACATGGGGCCTAGCCAGCTGCCTAGTCGGTGCTAGGAAGGTGCTGCTGGTTAGGACGCGGGCTTTGCTGTCAGAGGGCAGGGAGAGCACTCCAAGAAGGCACCTGTGGCTCCCTGGTGTTTGTCAATGTTGCTCCTGACAGTGAAGAGCTGAGCACTCAGCCTTCCGTGAACCTCACAAGGGCCTGGCCTTAGATGTTAGAGCTCCCACAGGACAGACTGCCAGTCTCTAAACTGCACATGGGAACAGAGGAGCCCAGGTGGTGCAGTGGGTCAAGTGACGGCTACAAACTGTGCAGTTGTTGGTTTAACCACCCCCCAGCCACTGCCCAGGAAAAGACGAGCCAATTTGCTCCCAGAGAGCTTTAGTCTTGAACCCCCAGGGGGGTTCCCTCCGCCCTCTCTCCAGGCAGGGGGCAAACTGTAAGGGGCCAGGCCATCCCAGCTGGGATCCTGACAGGTCAGGGTTCCCAGTGGGGACAGGAAGGACTGTGGTGTCACCCGGTCTATCTACAGAGCCATACATGCCCCCCAGCGATCCCCACTCCCCCCCACCCCTGCCCACTCACTGTCGGAGAAGCTGCCGCCCTTCTTTCCACACCAGTGGGTTGTTCTCCAGCGTGACCGAGTCCGCAGGGCCGTTGGAGACTAGGGGGCGGAAGAGGAAGCAAGCTGTCTTGGTCATGGGAGGCCCCACCTCCTCCCTTACCCCCCAAATCCAGATAGATCTCAGGGTCCTGTGGGGTTCGCTTCTGGAGGGCTCAGAGCCCCTCCCGCCCAACTCCAATCTGAGATTCCTTCCTTTTGCCTCCTGACTGGTCATACTCCAAGACCCTCCCCCCACCCCAAAATGCAAACACTGGTCTGGTTCCCAGAGCGCGGGCTGACCCAGGTACAGGTCCTGCAGGAGCTTGGAGGCTTCCCCTCCACTCACTCCTGAGCGCAGCACCGACCTCCTGGGACGGGAGTGAGACTTAATTAGACCATTCATTTCACTCCGTTTTAGTCAGCAGTCTTCCCCAGCATCTCATGTGTGCCTGGCACACTGCCAGGATGACACCAGCTAACCAAGATCACCATCCCCGCAGCCGCTGCCCCCGATGGATGGATGGAAGAATGACAATCACCACTAGTGGACCAGCAACTGAGGGCCTCCCACCACGGCCCCACCCACCCACCGGCCACTTCTGCCCTGCTTCTAGTCACACAGGGCGACAGCCTGCCCCTGCCCTGCGGGCGTCGGTCCTCACGCTGACCGAGACACAGAATCCTCCCTTCTCAGGGAGCCCCGGCTCTCAGGAGCCAGGGAGCAGGGACTGGCCCATCCTGCTGGCTTCCTGACCTAGCACAGCCAGCGACCCTCAAACTCGGTTCTGATGGGCAGGAAGGAAGGGTCTGACTGAGAAGCCCAGGCCTGCCCGGTGCCCCGCTCCCAGAGGGCACACTTGCCTACCTGTGCACATGTCTCACCTGCCAGCCTGGCTGCTTCCCCAACCCCCAGTCCTTTGGGGCCCTGAATAACTCAGCCCAGGGGCTGGGTACTGAGGAGACTCCACCACCCCCCCCCCGCCCCCCAGCCTCCTTGGCAATGCTGCATTCAACTTTGGGGGAGGGAACACACCGGGTTGGGGGGGGGGGGGGGAGGGGGGGTTGTGGAGCTCAGAGAGGCACCTTGTTCTGTCAGATCTGGTTTCTTCTCCCCCTGGTTCAGGTCTGTCCCGAACTTGAGTTTATGATATTTGGCCCTAAGGGAATAGGTGATTAACAAATAAGAGACCACAGTCAACTCCCCTCAAGAACCCCAACCCCGGCGGGGGGCTTCTGCCAAACCCACCCCTCATGCCCTGAGCCCCCCAGCTGCGGGGGGAGGCGGCCTGACGGGCGAGTCAGGCAGAGAGCTGGGAAACAGGACCCTACCCCCCGGCGATGCCCAGGGCACCAGGCTCCCCCCGTAGGCCACCTAGGCCTGGGATAATGGGGCGGACACTTGCCCCCAGCTCTGGCCCCGCAGAGGGGAGCGTGGCCTGGTGGCCTCCTGATCCGTGGTCAGACCAGGCCTCACCTCTCCTGCTTCAGCGCATATTCCAGCATCTTGATCCGCCGCACCAGATCTGTCTTTAGATTCTCTTGCCCTTTCCTCTCTCCCTGGAGGAAAGCCACTTGAGCCTGCGGGGAGAGGGAGAATGTGCGGGGGACAGAAAGAAGGGAGCAGGAGGGCTGGGGGGCCCAACTCAGCCCCCACCAAGCTGGAGCAAGGAGCGCAGGCGGTGCTGGGACTGCTTCTAGCTCCCACCATGAAAGGCCACTGGCCTTGGGAAGGGGGGCGGGTGTGCAGGTCAAAGATGGAGGGGGGCGTATGTGCAGGTCAAGGATGGAGGGGAAGCAGGTAGGGAGCAACAGGCTGCACTCCTCCTCACTCCCACTTTCCCCCCAAGGCAGCTTGCACCCCACTTTCCCTACCACAGCATCTGTCTCTGGGAGGCGTAGGAAGTTACTTCTGGAGCCCAGGGACAGGCGTGGGTGGCTCGGCTCCAGTGCCAAAGCTCTCCCACCAACCCGCCGGGGCCCAGGGAGCCAGGAGTGGTGGGCCCTGGCTCTTACCAACCTGTCAGGAGGTTTTTGTCGGCCAGCCGGGAGGCAGGCTGCTGGCCCCTAGCCATATTCAGATGGCCTTGCTTCCAGAGCCTCCGCCCCACCCGCCTCAACCACAAAACCTTGGGCCTACAGGGTCCTCCTTTGGAAATGGGGTGCCTGGGAGCCCCTGGGCACTCCATCCCCTCAGTCTGGAATAAAGGTTAATGATGCCAGCCCCTCCCCTCAGGGGAGGCTAGGAACTTCCAGGTCTCCCACCCTCTCAGGCAGCTGCCTCTTGGGGGGCCCACCCTTAAATAGTACATGCCCACTCAAGAACTTCCACAGCTCTCCCGAAGCCAATAGGTTTGGACCACAGACATCCTTTCACATTTCTCTCCAAAGGAGCTCTGGTGGCTCCATAGGTTAAGGATCAAGCTAATGAACTTGGAGTTGGCGGTTCAAACCCACCAGTGGCTCCAAGAGGTATGGATGAGGCTGTTTGCTCCCGGTAAGATTGACAATTTGACAGGGTTGCTATGAATTGGAATCAACTCCATGGAGTCCTGGTGACATAGTCAGTTAGCACTTGGCTGGAGGTTCGAATCCACCAGCTGCTCTGTGGGAGAAAGCTGAGGCTGTCTGCTCCCATAAAGACCAACAATCTTAAAAACCCTAAGGAGCTCTTCTCCTCTGCCCTACGGGTCGCCATGAGTAGGGTTTGGCTTGGCTTGGGCTCCTCCTCAAAGCCTGACTCCCCACAACTAGGCCGCAGTCTGGGGACACACTCTGAGTCCCTCCTCAGGGGCTCCCATGGCTCAGAACCATCAGCCCGTCCCTGGAGCCCAGCACAGCCCTGTGCCCACAGCCCTCCCCAAACTGCAGGTCTGTCTCTTAGGGCTCAGTAACTAGCAGTAAATGGGGGGCAGGGACACTGGCACACTGCCCCAGGACCCTGCTGGTGGCTCATAAAGTGACAATGCTTTCCTAGAGGACAACCTGGCCCACCCGCTGCCACCCTGTCGATGCTGACTCCTCAGAGCGCGCTCCACGCCGTCTAGCTGATGCCACTCACAGCGACGCCACGGGACAGGAGAGCACCGCCCCGAGACGGCAACTCCTGATGGCAGTAGAAAGCTTCATCTTCCTCCCATGGAGCCGCTAAGCGCTGCCAACGGCTGACCTTGAGATTCGCATACCCACTATGATACCAGGGCTCCTCTTCCAACCCCATCACGTCACATCTCAGCAGGATTGCTCCCTAGGGTTTCCAAAGCTGTAAGTCTGCAGCCCCGGGGAACTGGAACCACCCACTTCTTGCTTGGCAGCAGACGTGTAACCCACTTTGCCGCCGTGACAAACCAGGAAACTGGCTACCCAGAGAACTGGTCAAACCCACGTTTCCTCTGTAGAATGGTCCCTTACAAAACAGGGTGTCAGTAACTCCGAAGGGCTTGAGTTCTGGCCAATCGTAGAACGTGGGTTATTCACTTATTTATCTTACGGCCAGCAATATGTGAGACGGACAATGCCGCAGCCAGCGAGTTGTTATCAGGGGCTCATGCCAACCCCAGAGGCAAATAAAGACTGGATTTGAAAAGGCACGGGTGAGAAAGGGCAGTGATGGTAGAATCTGGAAAAAGAAAGGGAAGTGTTTGACTTACAAGTCTTTGGGACAGAAGTCCTTTATAAGTCAGGGACTACCCATATGCCCCAACAGAGAGAGTCCCTGGTATTCCCCTAAGGGGAAACAAGGCAAGGTCCAAGTGGCTGCCTAGCGAACTAGTAAGGTGCAGAGACACGCTCTCGTGCTCAGCAGAGGTCCATCTGTGTATTTCTCCCTCCACAAATACTGAGGCCCCACCTGCAGTCGGCGGCCACAGCCTTGAACAAAACGGGCCGGAAAAATGGGTGGGTTCAAAAAACCCAAACTCACTGCCACCGTGTTGATGCTGACTCATAGCGACCCTATAGGACAGCGTGGGAGTGCCCCCATGAACTTCTCAGACTGTAACTGTTTATGGGAGTAGAAAGCCCTTCTTTTCCTCACTGAACAGCAGGTGGGCTTGAACCACCAACCTTGCAGACCACAGCACAACTGGTCCATCACCACTGCACCACCAGGGAATTACTTTTTTGGGGGGAGGTGGGGGGTGGGAATTCCATTTATAACAGACGGCTACCACACGGCAAAACTTCCTCTTACGTACTCTGCACACGGTATCAGGAGAGACCGTCCCTGGAAAAGGATGTCCTGCCATGAGGAATGATGGAGACCCTGTGCTACTAGAAGCCCTGTCATTTCTCCTCTGCCTTTTGCCCCAGCCCGGCAGCACCTAGCGGGATCCTGAGAAACCCCCGCATCCCAGCAGCAACTAGCGGGATCCTGAGAAACCCCCGCATCCCAGCAGCAACTAGCGGGATCCTGAGAAACCCCCACATCCCGGCAGCACCTAGCGGGATCCGGAGAAGCCCCCCGCATCTCAGTTCCATGCCCTCCTCAAGCTCCAAGGGCTCCTGGTGGGGTGAGCCCCGGGAAGGCTGAGAGTGGGCAGGGAGGTGCTGAAGCCACACTCAGTCCCTGCATTCTCAGGCTCCACGCCGGTGGGGTCCACCCAGCTCAAATCCTCTCCCCTCGATGGGTCCCTCCTGTGCCTCGAGAGCTTCACTTCCCAGCAGTGCCACGTGAATGAAGGCATGGTCGAGGGTAAACTTGTCCAAAGGGCTTCCAAAAGACCGTGGAAAAACAGAATTCTCCCATGAACTTTCTTGTAAGGCGGCCCCCCGCAAGTTTTCAAAGGGCAGAAACCACAGTTATCGTACTCCCTGCTCCTATCTCCAGACCACATCCACAATGCCGCCTTTCCAAACTTGGGGCCCCCCGGGCAGCGTCTCTCAGCATCCTGACAACACAGTGAGCTCAGGGTTAAGCCCCAAATTGGCCACCGTCCTAAGCCCACCCCTGCCCGGTCCTGTGCCGTCCTCACAATTATCTTTCTGCTGGAGCTGCTGTGGCGGCCACCGTGTCCTCGTCCTCACAGCCTCACCAACCACCGCGTGCGGCTCCAGGGACTGGTCTCCCCTGACAATCTGTCCAAAGTATGAAAGACAAAGTCTTGGCATCCTTGCCTCTCAGGGGCACTCTGGTCTTACGTCTCTCAGCATCCTGACAACACAGTGAGCTCAGGGTTAAGCCCCAAATTGGCCATCGTCCTAAGCCCACCCCTGCCCGGTCCTGTGCCGTCCTCACAATTATCTTTCTGCTGGAGCTGCTGTGGCGGCCACCATGTCCTCGTCCTCACAGCCTCACCAACCACCGCGTGCGGCTCCAGGGACTGGTCTCCCCTGACCGCCTGTCTGAAGTACCTGAGACCAAGTCTCGACACTCTTGCCTTGAAGGGGCACTCTGACCCCACTCCTTTCTGACACGGATCTATGGGTGCTCTCGGCAGTCCAGGGTCCTCAGAAGACTCCCCTGCAGCCCCCAATGCAAGCACATCGATTCTTCTCCCGTCTTCCTTGTCCGCCGGCCAGCTCTCACAGGCCCGAGGCAACGACAATACCGGCGTCGGGCTCAGGCGCCCTGTGTCCTCTTCGACGCTTCAAAGGGGTCTTGTGCAGATGTACCAAGGCAGGCGGCCACGCTCTTCTCTTTGCCCACCCCCCTTTCTACCAGTGGTTCTTGACCTGTGGGTCGTGACCCCTTTGGGGGTTAAACGGCCCTTTCACAGCAAGATAACAGTGATGAAGTAGCAACGAAAATAATGTTATGGTTGGGGAGGGGTTCCCCACCACATGAGGAACTGAGGAACTGTCTGAAAGGGTCAGGGCATGAGGAAAGTTGAGAATCACTGCACTAGACAGCCCTCTGGGGGCCTAAGAACAGCCACCGTGGCTGGTTCTGAGGGCAAACCGTTGAAAATGACCTTTGAAAAGTCCAGCCTGGGCAGGGTGGTGGGGGTGGGTGGGTGTCAAATTCAAACAGCCAGGGGCTCAACATACAATGGGGCGCTGTGTCATGATCAAGAAGGATGGGGACTTGCTCTGTGCTGACCAGCCAGGGACAGGCCCGGTG